GCCAGGATAGACTCCAAAGCTACACAGAGAAACCCTGTCTTGAAAAACAAAAAAAAAAAAAAAAAAAAAAAAAATGGAATTCAGCACAGGTTAAGCAAGCAGGCTATGGATGTCATTAGGGTCCTGGTAAGGGGGATGGGGAGGAGGAAAGGAGCAAGAGAGGGAGGCGGGCAGGGCTGGTCACCAGAGTAATGTCAAAGGGACAGCAACAATTAGAGTCTGGCTGAGCACCTGTGGACACTAAAGAAGTGCTGTCACTCATGACACAGTATACCCTTCCATTAGACACGTGACTTGATAACTGATGGGCAAAATGATGCAATATCTAGAACTTGCTTTAAACTTCTCTAGGGGAAAAATAAGAGAGTCGTTAGGGCACATAAAATTTGCAGTGTTCAGCTTGGCAGTGGTAGCACACACCTTTAATCCCAGCACTCGGGAGGCTGGGGAAGGTGGATCTCTGTGAGTTTGAGGCCAGCCTAATCTACAGAGGGAGTTCCAGGACAGCTAGGGCTACACAAAGAAACCCTGTCTCGGGGGAAAAAAAAAAAAATTGCAGTGTTCACAGATGCCCACACTTAGGATAGCATGTGACAGTTTGTAATAGTCTCTACTTTTCTGTTTGAACAAAATTAACTGACCAAAGACTTAACGACAGGACACAGACAAAAAACAAAACAAAACAACAACAACAAAAAAAAAACTCCTACTTCTGATGGCGAGGAAGAGAGTGGAATGGACTGCCTGGGAATTAAGATCAAGACAAGAGTGTTGCCTGGTGGCATGGGCCTGTCAGCCCAGCGGCTGTGCAGGTTGAGAACTCAGTGAGAACCCGTCTCTAAACTCTAAAGATAAATAAATAAATAAACAAATAAATAAGAGCTAGGGAGAGAGCAGAGCATGCATGTGGCCCCAAGTTTCATCCCAAACATGTCTTAAAAGAAGCTATGTGTATTGATGGCCATGCTTACCTTGGAGGGGTAGAAGTAGCAGATGCCAGCTCTGGTTGGGTCTCCTTCTCCCTTTACCTTGGAACCATCATATAGAAAAAAATAGTTCCACCTGATAAGAAAACAGAACGCAGCCATGGGTCCCCACTGGTGACAATGATAAGTTCATGACACTTCCTCTTGACTCTGGCTCTGGGAGGGCTTGATGCTCAGCTGCCAGGAAGAGTCCAGCAGCCAAAAGCAGATAAACCCACTGCAAATGCAGCACAGGCAGACTAAAGATAAGCCTGTCCCCAGTCATCAGCTCATCTGCAAGAGGAAGCAGCTGTCCCTGCAGGGAACCAGATCACCCACTGTGAGCTGAGTTGCCTTTTGAAACCCTTACACTTAGCTGCACAAGCACAGAGCCTTCCCTGCCATGTTTCCCTGCCTGTTTCTCTAGTTTCTGGCAACAACACAGACTGAGGTATCTTCACTGCACTTCTCCTGAGCATGCTGGTGAGAAGCAGCCCTGTTCCTAAGGACTCATGGACTCCCTGGACAGATGTGTATGGAGGGCCTGCAGCAAGCAGGCTCATCTATAATGGGAAGACAGCAGCCTTTGAAAGTTGACAGAAAACACCACTGAGCCTCCAAACCTTGCCAGCAGCTCAGCCTTGCTTCCTCCTCACCCTTCCTGCTTTCTCAGTGTAAAGGAATCTTTCTTCAGAGTTTCTAGTACCTTCTGCCCTTTTCTAAATACTTCCACCCAATCCAGACAGGTCTCACTCTGTAGCCCAAACTGACCTCAAACTCCACAGTCTCCTGCCTTTGCCTCCAGCCCAAGCTCTGGAACTGCAGGCTCAGGATTCAGAAGACTCTTGGCCTGATATAAACATCACCTATTTGCACAAGGTGAATTAGGCAGAGACTGGGATTCAGTTTTAGTTCTTAGACTCAGAAAGCATACCAGCGAAGCCAGGGGAGCCCATGAAGGGACACAACACTGCCACTGGAGCTGTTCTCACAGGACTCAAGGCCTTCCCCTGGACCTCCAACTTCACGCTCCTCATTGACAGACACCTGTCCCAGCACCATCTATTTTCTCAAGCTCCAAGACTCAATGTAAAACCGGCCGGCCACATGTTAGATGGCAATCAAACACACTTGTGAACTTTCAAAGCTCACTGTGGACGACCCATCTACCCCCGTCATCCCCACACTCTGAAATCAGCCCTGCTCCTCTAGGTACACTGTACCTCAGGCATCGTTTGGAATGGCTCCACACATATGTCTACTGAGTCTAGTTCAGCCCCACCTTACACTGTCACCTCAGGAGCATTTGCTGAACCAGGGTATGAAAAAGGATGAAGCTACAAAGGGTACACGAGGGAATCGGGTTTCAGGCAGATGTTTCACAACAGCCTTAGGAGCCAAACTGGCTAAACCTCAACTGCAACCATCCTGCTTCTCCAGACACAGCCACACCCAGGTGCTCATCAAGACTGGCTGCACCATCACAGTCATGTACTTACAGCACCCGAGGTGGGGTCTGCTTATTTTTGCTTTATTAGGAATTGCACCCAGGGCCTCTCCAATGCTAGGTGAACTCTCTACCACTGGGCTATATGCCTAGCCAAAAACTTGCAAGGTGCAAACACATAAGCCCTGGAGAGAAATGGCTTCCATGATTAATGAGGTTGTTGTAAGCAGAACAGCAAGACTAGCTGGCCCAAGCTTGCAGGTCACTCAAACGACCCCAGAAGCAGCCTCAGGCAGGCCTTGACACTCACCATGAGGCTGACTTTATCTCTGAGGGGGTGGGGGTGGCCATTTACTCTCCAGCTGGCCTCATCCTCTTCACCTGGTATTCCTCCTAGAAGCACTTCTCTGTCCCCAACTGGTGTCCCCAGTCCAGTGACTCTAGATGTGGTCAAGTCAGGTGGTTTCTGCCACTTGCTTACTTTTCATTCAATATGAAAATGCAACTTCCCTTCGGGGCAGGTTCAATTCCAGGAATATCTCTGCATCTCTGAGAAGTTCAGGAGGAAACAAACTGAAACAAGTCAGATCTAACAAGTCAGATCTATAGTCTGGTTTCAGGAAAATCCATGCGGCTGTCTGCACTGGGACCTCTTCCAACTCCTCTCTCGGGGAGTTCCACTGGAAACAGAAGCATATCAGATGGGCAGAGGTGGATTCTGATAGGCTCTCTAGCTTTATGAAAGTTCAAAGCCATTCAGTGGATTCTTTCAAATGCTCTCAAGTTTCCAGTTCACACACCAGCCATCTCAGTTCTGAGTAAACACAAAGAATCAATTCTTTCAGAAACCCACAGGCATGCATGTGACCCACAGGTTTAATGACTAGTTGATCTCAAAGCTGTGTTTCAAAATAAAAAGAGAGTGGGTAGCAGGGACTTGGAAGATCCTTCATTTTTCAACAGAAAACATGGTCAGCCTTTTAGAAGGGAAATTAAATGGCAAGTGTGAAGGCTCTGGGTGTTAAGGAGCCACACCAATCAAATGGTTACTGAGTGACAGTGGAACGTAAATTAAGGAACTGGCATCGGAAAGCCTAATCTGAACGTGTGCAGTTTTCAGGACACAAGAAGAGAACTTCCAGAGTGCCCTTCATTTCAAACTCCCACCAGGAAAAGACAACTCTGTATCACGGGATACCCAGTCAGAAAGGAACCTGGCCTCGCTTACTCTAATCCTTGGCTCCTCCAAGGAACTGTCCAGAAACTGGTTCAAGGCGTTAAAATTACTATCTGTTGCTGGGTGGTGGCGGCACACACCATTAATCCCAGCACTTGGGAGGCAGAAGCAGGCGGATCTCTGTGAGTTCAAGACCAGCCTGGTCTACAAGAGCTAGTTCCAGGACAGCCTCCAAAGCCACAGAGAAACCCTGTCTCGGAAAAAAACAAAAAACCAAAAAACCAACAACAACAACAAAAATTACTATCTGTGAGGCCAAAATCTCCTGACAGTAATCTTCCACTGTCAGGATAACATTAGGAGGAAACACAAAAATGGTTTAATCTTCCACTTGGCAACCCTTCAGTAATTTTCATCTATAGTCCTAGTCCCACTTCTCCGGTTAATTCCCTCATCGACGAGGTCTCTCTCCAAACCGGGCCACAATTCTGACATCTGCGGAAACACAGGGTTTTAAAGTCTCTTAGGGAAGGAGCCATGCCTTCAATCCCAGCACCAGGGAGGCAAAGGCAGGCAGATTCCCGAGTTCAATGCCAGACATGGCTACAGAATATACGACCCTGTCTTAAAAGCAAGCAAAGTCCCGTCAGGAAGAAGGAAGTACCTGATGGAGATCCCCTACGAACCTGAGAAGGCCTAAAAACCTGTCATGTCAGTTACCTTGCTCTAGAGAGCACACAGGTCGTCTGTGCAGGGACGTCTCAGGTCCTGGAACCCCACTCCCCCATTCCCAAAGACCTGGTCGGAGGACCAAGCAGCTAGTTCCCAAAGGTCCAGATGAGGTCAGTGATCATCTTATGGGGAGGGACCTGAAAAGGCCCTGGCAGCCTGGGAGGTGACAGCATGGGGATGGTGCAGATGCACGCAGAGACGGAGGCGTGGGAAGTGGCCTCCATGGGTCAGGAAAAGGG